TATATCATTTTCATAGTAATTTTGTTGCTTTTATTATTATTATATCTTTTTTTTATATTTCTATTAGGCTTTAATTGGTTTTTCAATTTTAGTTTTAGTAATTGTAGTACTAAAACTTGTCAGCTGCTAAGGCAACATTTATAAAAAAAAAAATTAACATTAATAGTTTTTTAAGTTTAAGTGCTTCATCTAATATTCATATTTTATTTAATTTCACTTATTTCGATTAACAAAAAATATTTGTAATAGTTTTAGTCAAAGTGATATATATATATATAGATTTATATTCACTTTTATTTTTACAATTTTGAGTTTAGTAATTCTATGCGATTTTGTAATTTCTATTCGTTTTTTACATATTTCTATTTAACTTTATTTCCCAGGTTTAGTTTTAGTCATTGTAGTACTTTTAAACATTTATCATTTTTGTTTTAATTTAAGTGTTTTGCCTAATGTTTATATTTTATTTAATTTCATCTTTATTTGAGTTAACAAAAATTATTTTGAATAGTTTGTCAAAGTTATGTAGATTTATATTAGTTTTAATTTTTACAGTTTCAAGTTTAGTCATTTTATGTGCTTTTGTCTTTTTTTATATTTCTATTTAGCTTTATTTTTTAGTTTTAGTAATTGTAATACTTTTAAACATTTGTCATTTTCGTTCACATTTTTAGGCATTCCATCTAATATTTATATTTTATTTAATTTCAGCTTTACTTGAGTTCACAAAAATAATTTTTAATAGATTGTCAAAGTGTACAATAACAGCACTTCATGAAATGTGAAAAAAAAAAACTTCATATGCATGTTATGATTTTACAATCGGTGTTATTTCAGTATGATTGAGATTATTTTGAACCATTTTTATTTTAAGATTTTTTCAGTGTTTTTTTTTTGGTCATTTTATTTTTCAGTTTTAGTTTTCAAACGTGAGGTTGAGTAAGAACACCTGAAATATTTGTCGATATCAGATATGTCCTCTCATAATTATTTAAGTGCTACATAAGTAAATGACGAGTTTATCAGGCAGTACATTAGCTGACAGAATGCACACGTGTTCACGCTACACAACGCCTGATATAATCAGTGTGTGGTCAAAATAATCAGATACCGATTACAGAATGAAAACAGCCAGAAGGAGACTGCATTTCTGAAATGATCTACATGGATGTGAGCTTCATCTCAATTATTATAATTATGATAAGGACTCATTAAACAGCCATCAATCATCAGACGTGGTTAAGAAGCTGCTTCTTGCTTGTTTAAACCATGTATACAGTACAATCAGAGCTTTATATAGTACATCCAATGCATTTTTTTAATTTAATGCTTGCTTAAAAACGAGAAGCAGATTTGACATGCGATTTAACACAATTGCTGACAATTATAAAAATCATTTATTGTCCTTTAACCTCTTGGAATACAAAATAAAAACAGCATTGAGTGTGTCCACAGCTGCTGGTTTACAGAAGAGACACCTTTATCATAACATTTGACAATTTAGCAGAGGCTTTTATCCAACGCTGTACAACAATAGAAGTTACATTTTAAAGTCAACATGATTCATGTTTCTGGTTTCATCGCTATGGACACTTTTTTCTGCCAGGTGATAAAAAATAAAAGGTAATTGTGGCCTTTTAATCTCACAGTTTTGAGTTTATATCTCGCAATTCTAATTTCTTTCTCGCAATTCTGACTTTATCTTACAATTTAATTTTTTTCTCGCAATTCTGAGTATATATCTCACAATTAAAATTTTGTTCTTGCAATTCTGACTTTTTTTTTTTCGCAATTACAATTTTTTTCCTCACAGTTCTGATTTCTTTTTTGTTGCAATTCTAACTTTATATCTCACAATTCAATTTTTTTTCTCGCAATTTTGACTTTTTTCTCACAATTTCAATTTTATTCTCCTATTTCTGACTTTATATCTCACAATGAACAATTTTTTTCTCACAATTCTGACTTTATATTTGGCAATAAAACATTTTTTGCAATTCTGAGTTTCTATCTCACAATTAAAATTTTTTCTTTCAATTCCAATTTTTTTTTTTTTTTCGCAATTCTGATTTTTTTTCTCTCACAGTTCTGATTTTTTTTTTTTGCAATTCTAACTTATCTCAATTTAAAAAAAAATTATCGCAATTCTAACTTTTTTCTCACAGTTTCAATTTTATTCTCCTATTTCTGACTTTATATCTCACAATTGAAAACGACTTTTCTTCTCAGAATTACCTTTTTTTTTTGTCTCGCAATTGTAAGTTAACATTTCACAATTCAGTTTTTTTTTCTCAGAATTGCGAGGAAAAAAAGGTCGCAATTACCTTTTAATTCATTGTCCTGCAGCAGAAACAGTGAACGATCATCAGATGGATTTAATAAACCCAGCAGCTCAGTCTATATTACACACGGCACATAATATCAAAGGTTCTGTGCAAATGCATTAGAATAAGCTGAATAAATGCTGACAGAATGATGGGTTTGGGGTGAATCGTTCCTGTCCTCCTCCATGCGAGTCTCCAGAGGGAAGGTCAGCAGTCCAGCTCAGTGCTGCAGTAGATCAGGAGCATTCACAGTCAGAAGTGCTGCTGGGAGTGTTTGCGGTGCTGCTCCAGCAGCGGCACCAGACAGCGAGGAGAAGCGGCCTGCAGCATGAAGAGATGCTGGAGCAGATCACCGGCGCTCGCTCGCTCCAGCGGATCACGCCTCAGCATCGAGTCCAGAAAGTCCCTCAGGACGGGAGAGATCTGATCACAGGGTTATTATTATACTACATGAGAATTTAATGTCAAACATCATAATGACAAAAAAGAACTTGATGGTCTTAAAAATAGGCTTCATTTTAAATCTGAAAAATAAAGTGATTTTATTTCATTTAATTTATGCATGACATCAGTGTTGTTTTATATACTAGTTATAGTATTTGCTATTTTTGAATTAGCTGTTATATATATATATATATATATATTAGCTTTTACATTTACAATTTTAAATTTAGTAGTTTTGTTATGGTTTTGTCATTTTTGTTTTTATATTTCTATTTAGCTATTTCTAATTTATTTTTCAGTTTTAGTAAGTGTACTTTTAAACATTTATCATTTTCAGTTTTTAAGTTAAGTGTTTTATCATTATTTATATACTATTTATAGTATTTTGAATTAACCGTTTTAATATTTTATAATTATATTTTGCATTTATATTAGCTTTTATTTTTACAGTTTTAAGTTTAGTAATTTTGTTGCATGTTTTTGTCATTTGTATTTACTTTTTTAAATATATATTTCTATGTAGTTTTTTTTTTTAATATATCTATTTTGTTTTAGTAAGTTTATAACTTTAACATTTATAATTTTCTTTTTTTTTTAGTTTAAGTGTTTCATCTAATATTTATGTTATTTCATTTCGGCTTTTTTAATAAATGAAAATGGTTTTTAATAGTTTTATTCTTTGTGTAATCAGTGATGTTATATATTCTATTTACAGCATTTGTTATTATTTTGAATGGGCTTTTATCTTTATATTTTAGATTTGTATTAGCATTTTTTTTTTTACTATTTTAATTTTAGTAATTGTATGTGCTTTGTCATTTTCATTCATTTTTTTAGAGTTCTATTTAGCTTTATTTTTTGTATTTATTTATCAGTTTTCGTTTTTAAACATAATTTTCGTTTGTTTTTTTAAGTTTGTGTTTCATCTAATATTTGTATTTTATTTCAATTAATAAAAATGATTTTTATGTTTTAGTGTGCAATAACAGCACTGAATGAAATGTGAAAAAAAACATTTCATAGGCATGTTATGATTTCACATTCAGTGTTATTTCAGTGGGATACATATAGTTTTTATTAATATTTTGTGAAAGTTTTTGTTTTTATATATTGTTTTCATTTTTTTTTTTTTTTGTTAAAGTTTTGGTCATTTTGTTGTGTGTTATCGTCATTTTTAGTAGGTTTTTTTTTTCATGTCTATATAGATATTATTTATTTTTTATTTCCTTGACAACTAGCTGAAATAAAAAATTATAAGATTGAGTTTTTTTTTTTTTTTTCAGTTAATTATTTTTTTTTTTGTCTTTTAATATATCGTTTTGGCTTCAGTTTTCGTTCACTGAAATCACCTTGCTGATGTTTCTGGCGGTCGGCGGCGGCTCGTCCCGCAGTCTCTTCATCGCTGCTATCGGCGTCTCGCTGAAATACGGAGGTTCTCCATCGATCATCTCCACCACCATGATCCCCAGAGGCCACATGTCCACCTACAAACACACACAACATCAGGATCTTTCACTTCAGCAATCAAGATCTCTGCCTCCCGAATGTTGATTCCTCGTTCCGAGGAAATTCGGGGGAAGCTGGAAAAAACAAACAAATGCAACATTCTCAAGAATTACAATGAACTATAGATAAAGCTCATGTTTGCCAGTCATACAAACACTTGCATTGTCCTGTAAGTCTGAGAAAAATACAAGGAACCAAAACTAGAAGTAATACAAATTACATTTATATTTATAAAATACAAAAAAAAATACAGGTTTCCCAAGGCTTCGGACCAATGCATTTCCATGACTTTTCCAATCATTCTTTTTCTTTTTGAATATTACATTTGTATTGGTTTTCTTTATGCATGTCATAACACCTGAAGGTCAACATAACAGACACAATACAACCACAAAAACAGGACATAACGCAGATGGAGAAGTTGGAAGACAATAGAAACAGTGGCCTAATAAAAGTGAATGTCTATATGAGTGTGATTTCAATTCAGCCAGCATTTATAATCATATTTGAGGTGTTTGCAGTCTCTGTTGTGCTGCTGTGACTAAAATACCTACCGTAACAATCAGAGAACATTCCCTCAAAGCACAAAAAAGTTATTCACACCGCTTTCGTGGAACCTTTTTTCTGAACAGTTTTATTCAGATGTTTGTTTAAATGTTACTTGTTTCAGAACGTTCAGAGAACATTCAAAAGTAACATTCCCATAATGTTTGTGAAATGATACAATGGAACGTTCTCCTGACATTCACATTAAAAAAAAAATGTTTCTGGACCATTTAAAAAAAACTGGACATTTTTAACGTTCAGAGAACATTCAGAAGAAACATTCTCATAACTTCATGGGAACGTTTTTAGAACATCTTTGTGTTTGCAGTCTCTGTTGTGCTGCTGTGACTAAAATACCTACCGTAACAATCAGAGAACATTCCCTCAAAGCACAAAAAAGTTATTCACACCGCTTTCGTGGAACCTTTTTTCTGAACAGTTTTATTCAGATGTTTGTTTAAATGTTACTTGTTTCAGAACGTTCAGAGAACATTCAAAAGTAACATTCCCACGATCTTTCCAAAATGATACAATGGAATGTTCCCTTCGCGTTTGTATCACCAAAAAAAACAAATCTTTTAAAGTGCCACTATCGTGGATTTTTAAAACATTGTCTTTCATGCAGTCTGCAAAGCTGGAAGTGCACGATAAATAAAGTTAGTCTATCAAAAGAAAGAATCGCTTAAACGAGTCGTTTAAAATTCAAATCCCATTTCCGCAAAGTTCATACGTTCATTCTGCGTCTCCAATCTCAGCGAGTTCAACGCAGGATTCGTAAAACAGTTGTCTTTGAAAGATGGCTCAGTGCCCGGCTTGTTTGGAACAGTTTGCTCCTCTGAATCATAACCTGTAAGTATGATTAATAATCGCTGCTTTGATGTTCTGTCGAGAGTGCAAAATCGTCGTTTTGTGTACAGTCAGTGCAGCTGTAAATCGCTGGTTAACTCGCGGTATAGTTCTGCTAATCAGCTGTGGGTCACACATATTGTCTAGAAATGTGTTGATTAATATAGAATGTCTGCTGTACTTGGAGTCATGATAAAGGATGGAGCAATAGGTTGGTTTACAAACTGCAGTGCTTCATCAGTACTCCACGTCATATAGCATTATTGTTTGGGTCTTTACTAGCAAGCTGTGGGCAAACTTTTCCCCCTCTGATTCTTCTTTTTAGAACAGAGTGGAGCAATATTATTATTATTATAATAGGATGTATTATATATATATATGTATTATCGGACCAATCAGAGCAGAGTAGCCTCATGCCTCAGGGGTTTGGAAAGATGAATCTTCGAACGAATCCCTTGAGAGTCGTTGAGAAATAAGGTCAAATTAAATGCATATTATACTGTAAGTAAATGAAAGTGTTTTTGACCTTGCATGCATGTAGACCTGTTGTTGGGGACTCCCAGAACCAAATTATGAACCTTTCAAATAGCATAATGAGGGCACTTTAAAACATTTTTTAAAAAACTGGACGTTTTTAACATTCAGAAATAATGTTTATTATTATATTTTCAAAATGTTAGCACAAAAACTATCTACACATCATTCATGGAATGTTTCTTTTTTTTTTGGACTTTCATGTAGCATTTTTTTTTTAAATGTTACTAGTTGTTTCAGAACGTTTAGAGAACATTCTAACCTTCCCGTAATGTTTGCAATGCAAGAATTCTAAAATGGAATGTTCCCTGTAACATTTGCAAAAAAAAATAAATAAATAAAAATGTAAAACACAAAAAAAAACTGGATGTTTTGAACGTTCAGAGGACATTCAGAAATAACTTTTTCATAACAAAATTGGAACTTGGAACATATTTTGTTAACTGGTAAGGGAAAAGTCATTGTTTTTAATTCGAGAAATCTCCGTTTTATCTCCTAAAGCCATGGCCTCGGTGAACGAGGAAGGTCATTTCCCAACAATCTCCCAAAAAGGCCGAATTTTTCCAAACTTTCCTAGACAATGTTGGATAAGTCATGCTATGTTGTTATGAGTTTAGAGATTTCAACATCCGGTAAAGCTAAATCAGCTTTATCCCTATGCAAATATCATTTATTGACTCTAATTGTTCCCGTTAAAAGGCCTTAATCACAGTATTATATCATCGAAATATTTGGTGTGGCATTGTGACATTCTTTATTACATTCCTCTTTCCCATAAACTTAAATAAAATGATTAAAACTCATAATGCTCTCTAAATTAGGGCCAAATATTGAATTCCTTCATGCATCCATTTAAAGTGCACTAACTAAAAGTGTCTTTGCCGATTTTGTTAGCACGTTCAGGTCTACATTTAATAAACTTATTGGACAGAAATTAGCATGATAAATCATATGCATGTAGATTTTGGTATAAAACTGTGTTACTCGCAATTGTATGTATATAATTTGAAATAAAACTAATTAAAAACTATTATTTGTCCTATTAATCCTACTTCCCTACTTACTTTAAAGGGGTCATATGATGCGATTTCAAGTTTTCCTTTCTCTTTGGAGTGTTACAAGCTGATTGTGCATAGATAAGATCCCTGAAGTTGCAAAGACTAAAGTCTCAAAACCAAAGAGATATTCTTTATCAAAGTTAAGACTCTGCCACACCCCCCTAAAACGGCTCGTTCTAACACGCCCCCACATATCTACCTCACTATGTGGAAATATTCGCATAATGCCGCCCAAATGTTCACGCAAAGAAAGAAGGCGTGGTTTCAGTAACCGCAGTTAGTGTTGAAGCAGCCATGTCAGGGAGACGCTGTGTGTTTCTGGGCGAAAGCAAAAGCACTTTATTTGGCCTTCCGAAAGTAGATGCATTTAGGAATCTTTAAGATCACTTACAACAGAACAGCAATGCATTTTATGGACGACCGTTTCGTGAACCTAGGAGAGGAGGTAATTCTGACTTTGCTATGACAATCTGGCGCTTCTGAATCAGCGACTGTTTTGTTATTAGTTTAAGTATTTGCTATTGACTGTTCAAATGCGGAGTTTTGCGCATCGTGTGTGTGTTTGTGTGTGTGTGAGAGAGAGAGAGAGAGCGCGAGAGAGAGAGAGAGAGCGCGAGAGAGAGAGAGAGAGCGCGAGAGAGAGAGAGAGAGCGCGAGAGAGAGAGAGAGAGCGCGAGAGAGAGAGAGAGAGCGCGAGAGAGAGAGAAAGAGCGAGAGAGAGAGAGCGCGAGAGAGAGAGAGAGAGAGCGAGAGAGAAAGAGAGAGAGAACGCGCGAGAGAGAGCGCGAGAGAAAGAGAGAGCGAGAGAGAGAGAGAGAGAGAGAGAAAGAGAGCACAGTGGAGTCAGCTGTCTTAACCGCGGCTTGTGTACT